TACGCGACCGAGGTAGTGTTCATTTTGAGGTAAGGCAGGGCCGACTAGGCGCGAGAGTACGACAGGGAAGATAGCGAAAGCGAGGATCCAAGGAAGCCCGGAGACATGACAAGGCTGAGACTTGCAGACGAGCCGCAAGGCGGTGTGGCTGGGAGGTGGTGTGGCCTGATTAAACATTGGGATCGGGTGTAAGGCTGGACGCAAAGGCCCACTTCACGCTAGTCCGGTACGGAGCGACGAGCATTTACATTCAAGCACTTACAGAGACTTAAATGCTCGCAACAACGGTGGTACGACAGCAAGTGAACTCCAACATACCGAGCATCCGCGCAAATCAGTCTCTCTCTCTCAATACCATTTAACGTCTCTTCGCTAAGGTAGCGAGTAGAGACAACCAAGAGCCAGCCAAACTACACCCCTCCCGTCCCCCCCCTGGTGTAGTTTGGGGTGGGGCGAGCGACAAGACCACACAACCAACCACCCTAGAGGTAACGCCCTGAGACCCCGGCGACTAAAGTAAATCGTCCTAGCAATCGCAAGACCGCTAAGGCGAGAAGCAGGCACTCAGTTGCGGGGCCGCACATTGCGGTCGTGACGATGAGGATCAAGGTATCGCTCCAGCACAGCCGGAGTCCGAAGCTGACTGAACTCCATCAGGGCGGGAACTCCCGCACCGGCCGACGCAGCGGCCTGCAGGGCACCCCGGCGGAAACTGTGCACAGTTTCCCCGTCGTACAACTGAGCAGCCCACAGGTGTAGCCGTAACCGCGCGGCAAGAGTGGCGCTCTGCAGCGCTTCCGCCTTGAAAGCCCGCTGGTCCGCCGTCAGCGGGCGAAACAGCGTGTCTTGGACAGTGCTCCCAGGAGGGGCACCAGGCTGGGCGCAAGACCACATGTAAAAAGCCAGAGTACGCGGGATGCAGAAAGGGGGGTCCTCACTGTTGGGCCGCAGCAGCACCGCGGGGCCACGCACCAGCCGATAGGTCTTAGTCCCCCGCTGACGGAAGCAGAGGGTAGGACATCCACCAGGGCCCCAAGACCATGGCGGAGGTAGCGGGAACCCAGAGTACGGTCGGTCAGGCTGCGAAGGTTCGACGAAGTCACCCACCCCCAGCTTCCCGATATCGTGACCCCTCTGGGCAGTCTGCCACAGGAGAAGCACGCACAACAGGTCCCGCAGGAAGACCAGTCGGGGCAAAGCTTCGTCAGTCACCACCACTTGCGACCACAAGTAGCCCACGAGAGCACGGTACTTGTCATAAGACAAAGGTACTGCCGAAACCTCGGTGTAACCCCCGGCGACCTGGGACCGCTGATACGACGCGCGGAAATCCTCAACCCAGATGCAATCGCAAGGGTTGCCTTGGCCGGTGGAGACGTCGAATCGACCACCCCGGCCCACACGGCTGAAGAAACCACTCAGGCAGGACAGGTGGGACTTAACGGCGGCAGGCCCTACGGGGCCGCCACTTCGGCCCTGATGCCGGGGCAGCCACCAAACCGTCATATAGACGAGCACGTCGTCTGGCGTACAATTCCACCAGTCCCGACCACGACCATGGCTGGAAAGCCAACTCAGGAACTCGGTGACGGCACCATCCTGGCGGGACACCGTAGAAGAGGCTAGGGCACCAAGGAGCATCTGGTTGGCCGCGGCCAGACCCCGCTGGTAAGACGCTTCTTGATCCGCGGCTGAAATGAGGGGCGAAGGGCGGAGCCGAGCGATAACCTGGTCTAGGCGACCGCGAGCCACACCCAAGGGGGCAGGTGCCTGCAGTCCGAGAGAATCGCTTAGGAGAGCGCTAGAGCAGGGTCAGCAGCCAAAGGACTTCTCTACCAACCTGGGCAGGAACGCCCAGCGGGAAAGGCCGGCTAACGGGGGGCCCAGCGGATCCGGCGGCGGCGCCGGTGACAACCCCAGGGCCAAGAAAGAACTCCTACGGCAGGCGAGACACGATAATCAGCCAACATTGCACACAGAACAGGGGGCAGCAAACGGATAACCCACAGAAGGCGCCAAAGGTGGAGACTCGAGAGAGGGAGCCGACAATCCAACCAAGGAAAGCGGACCCCCCGGAAGGCCGAGGCCGCCAGTGCGAAGAGGGACCTGCGGGGAGACGGGCCCGTCTATCGCAAGCGCAAAGGACAACACAATAGCTCGGCGACACCTCACCACACCACGTAAGCCCCATCCAGGAACAAAGGAAGGCTGCGCGGAGCTAGTCGCGTCAGTGCCAAGAAAGGCTAAGCCATCGACCTGGGCACGACAGCGGTACGGAAACGCATCAGAATGATCGCACATTCAGGAAAACCGGGAATCAGTGGTTTACATCTAAGTAATCTAAACCTAAGGAGAAGGAGATCAGTCGCGATGCAAGTAGGCAGATGAACAGGGCGTAAATCGCCCACGCACATGGAGACCGGGGATCCTCA